GTCGGGACGCGAGGGACACCCCGAAATATCGGGACGTCTGGTCACCCTACCTGGCTCCCAGCCCCCCCAGAGAACCTGGGCATCCTGGCCCCCGCCTCCCCCGAGAACCCAGGCGTCCTGGCGTCCCGGCCCCTGCTCTAACCACCAGCCCACACTCCCCTCCCCGAGCCGGGGAGAGAACCCAGGAGTCCTGACTCCAGCTTTCTTCCCCTCGCAGCGGTGGCCATGGCAGCCCCGGCGGACTTGGACGATGCTTTCCTGCGGGAGCTGCGGACCCGCTACGAAGCCCACGACCCCGTCACGGCCGCCGCCCGCCTCCAGGCCCTGGTGGACTCGGTCAACGCCCTGAAGGCCGACGTGGCTGTGGTGGGCCGCCGGGGCGCCGGGGTCACCACGCTGATCCACGCCCTCGTGGGAGAACGCCCCGGCCTGGACAACGCCCAGGCCTTCTTCCAGCAGGCGCCGGAGCCCCCGGGGCAGCCGGCCGGCTACACCCACCCCACCTACCCCAACCTGGCACTGTGGGATCTCCCAGGCTTCCAGGAGCCGGAGAAGCCGGGCGACTACACAAAGCGGCTGGGGGACCTGGGGAAGTTCACCTGCCTGGTGCTGGTGGTGGCCGAGGGAAGCCCGGCAGATCCCCACCTGCAGCTCCTCAAGGCCTTCCAGCAGAAGCGGAAGCCCTACTACGTGGTGCGCACCAAGGTGGACCTGGACTTGCACACGGCCAAGCGGCGGTTCCGGGCCCAGTACAACTCGGCCGAGGCGCTGGCGCTGGCCCGGAACGGGGTGGCCGAGGTGCTGGCCAAGAATGGGCTGGAGCCCAACAGGGTTTTCCTGGTCTCGGCCCTGGAGACGGACAGGTACCAGTTCAGCCAGTTCCAGGACAAACTGGAGGAGGAGCTAATCCAGCTGAAGAGGTGAGCGGGGCGGGGCTAGGAGCCAGGACTCCTGGGTTCTCTCCCCAGCTCTGGGAGGGGACTGGGGTCTAGCGGGTCAGAGCAGGGGGGGCCAGGAGCCAGGACTCCCGGGTTCTCTCCCCAGCTCTGGGAGGGGAGTGGGGTCTAGCGGGTCAGAGCAGGGGGGGCCAGGAGCCAGGACTCCCGGGTTCTCTCCCCAGCTCTGGGAGGGGAGTGGGGTCTAGCGGGTCAGAGCAGGGGGGCCGGGAGCCAGGAATCCTGGGTTCTGGCTCTGGGAGGGGAGTGGGGGAAATTTTACAGCACTTTGAAAAATCAGCTTTTTAACAGAAACTGCAGTGAAACTTCCACACTGGGTATTGCGGGGCCCCATCACACTAAGTGCTGCATTGTGCCGGGCGCTGCATAGACCCCGCCCGAGATCAGGGGCTCCACTGTGGGGTGCTGCATAGACCCCGCCCAAGCCCCAGTCCCTGCCCCACATCCTCTAAGAGGTGGAGCTTCCATTCTGCATAGACAAAAGAAGGCTCCTTCTCCCACATGTTACAGGTGGGGAAACTGAGGCCCAGAGAGAGGCAGTGACTCACAGGGTGTCTGGGGCTGAGCTGGGACCAGACCCCAAGTGTCCTGGGTTCCAGTGACACCAGATACAAGCTTCCTCCCTACCCAAAGCTCAGCAGAGGGGCTCCAATCCCCCCATCCCGTCCTCTCTGTGCAGGGCCCACGACGGGGAGCTGGAGGACCTGAGGGCTGTGAACACGAGGAAGATCCAGGAGTTGTACCAGGCCTGCGCCATGGGGGGACTGGCAGGGGTGCCTGCCATCATCCGCTCGGCGCTGGAGGAGCCCTCGCAGATCCGGCTGGACGTGGCGGTGCTGGGGGAGGCTGGCTCGGGCAAGTCGGCACTGGTGAACGCTCTGAGGGGGGTGGGCTGCGGGGAGCCAGAGGCAGCACCCACGGGGGTGACGGCCACCACCCGGAAAGCCACAGCTTACGCCCACCCCACCGTGCCTGGCCTGTATCTGTGGGACTTGCCGGGAGTGGGGGTAACGGAGGAGGACGTGGGGCGGCTGGATCTGTCCCGTTACGACTTCTTCCTGCTGACGGCCTCGGAGCGCTACCGCCACACCCAGAGCCGGCTCGCCCGGGCCATCAGCGCGGCCGGGAAGCGGTTCTTCTTCGTCAGGACCAAGGTGGATGTGGACGCCCAGCCCGGCTCTGAGCCCGGCCCCGAGCCCAGCCCCTTGGAGGAGATCCGGAGCAGCTGCGTGGATGCCCTCCAGAAGGACGGCGTGGGCTCCCCAAGGGTCTTCCTCGTCTCCAGCCTTCTCCGCGAGGCCTACGACCTGCCGGCCCTCCGAGCGGCCCTGGAGAGCGACGCCCCAGCCTTGAAGAGGGAGGCACTGGAGAAGGCCATCCCTGTGGCCTTGAGCCGCCTGGTGAGGAGGAAGAGCAAGGCGCTGATGAAGGACGTCTGGGGCAAGACCTTGAAGAGCTGCCTGTACTGCGCAGAGAAACCTGGGCCGGATGTGGCCACCAGCCTCGTCGACACAGTCTCGGCTTTCTCCATCGAGCTGGGCCTGGACGAGGAGTCCTTGGCCCAGGTGGCCAAAGCCACAGGGAAGCCGGCCGGGCTGCTCCAGGCCGAGATCCGCAGCCCCTGGGTCAAGCGGCTGGACCCGGAGCAGGTGCTGAAGCAGATCACTAAGCCAGTGCCCTTCTCCTCCCGAATGTGGAGCTTGGTGTCCTACTGGGGCCGCGGGGCCGAGGGGCAGCCCGAGATCTCCCTGGAGGCCACCTACAGGCTGCTGACACAGGCCCTGGCAGAGATGACGGAGGACGCAGAGCGGATGCTGCGCCAAGCCTATGCCAAGGAGTAGGGGGAGGGGCTGTTTGTAGAGTGTTTCCTCCCCCAGCGCGGAGATGCAGCCACCTCTGAGGCGGGCTCGGGGGCTGTTTATGTGGGGATCCCTCTCCTGGCGCTGAATTACAGCCCGGGCGGCTGTGTGACACAGGGGTTGCTGCTGCATTAGAGGAGTGTGGTTATATAGCTGTGGCATTGCATGTTTTTTTCCTGTGTCCTGCACTTGTCAGAATAACATGCGACCTGCCCACCTAGGGGGCGCCCTGCTGGGCTCAACGAGGCTGATGTTATAGCCAGGGACACACACACTGGGCCCTCCGCAGTGCAGACTTTGTATTAGTTCTTTCTTGTCTGTTTTCCTTCCATCAGAAATAAAATGGAGACCCGGACAGGACCTTTGCTCTGTGTTGATGGGAAACTCTGATGATGAAAGCGCGGCTGCTGGCTGGGCCACGCTGGGGCCAGCCCTACCTGGGAGAGGAAAGGGGGCGCCCTTGCTGACCTCCACCCTGCAGCACAGCACTGGATGCCCCACTGCACCCTGGGAATTTGAGGCTCTGAACACCCCGGTGCATTCTGGGAATATGGGGCACTCCACTCCCTGGTGCATCATGGGAATTTGAGGCGCTGGACACCCCAGTCGACCCTGGGAAGTTGGGGATCTACATGCCCCAGAGCATTCTGGGAATTTGGGGCTCTGAACACCCCAGTGCATTCTGGGAAGTTAGGGCTCTGAACACCCCAGTGCATGCTGGGAATGGGGGGGCTCTCCACCCCGTGGTGCATCATGGGAACGTGGGGTGGTGGATGGCTCTGTGCTCGCTGGGAATGAGGCCTCTCCATGCCCCGGTGCACCCTGGGATAGCATGGTGGGTCGTCTCCCGCAGGAGCCCGCAACCTGGTGCTGCCCCTGAATTGTCACCCCCCCCCCCCTCATTGGGGAAGCGTCCCGGCGGCCTGCGCATGCGCATCATTGTAGTGCCCCTCCTCCCAGTATCACGCATGCGCAGACCTTTCGTCGTAGCATCGTTGCTGCGACGCATTGAGCGGAACCTATACGCATGCGCACCGTCGGACCCAGCGGCACACGATCTAGGTCGCGCATACGCAGTCCACTTCGCCACGCGCCTCTCCCAACGCGCATGCGCCTGCCGCAGTAGCGCGACGCTGGGGACAGAAGGACCCCGCGTCCCCCCGTCTTTTGGGTTGCCCTGATGAATGCCTGATTAAAATTGCTCATATCCGGGGGCGGGACTGGGGGAGGGAGCCCAGATGGGGGTAAAAGGGGAAGGGAAGGGAGCAGTCCCGGGGGCCGGTAGTTTAGATCAGGCGCGGGCAGGGGCAGCCCCAGCGGAAACAGGGAGGGGTCCTGGCTGGGTGGGCCTCGGAAACAGGAAGGCGAAGCAGGCGAGGGAGGAGAAGAGAGAGGGAGAGAGGTGAGGGGTGACAGGGGGATCTCCATGGGGGGTGGCCGTGGGGGGAGGGCTGGCTGAGGGGGCTCTCCATTGTGGGGAAGCTGGGAGGTGGGGGGAGGGGTGGCTGGGAGGGGGTCTCCATTGGGGGAGGGGTGGTTGAGGGGGGTCTCCATTGTGGGGA